CTCTTTCCCCCCTCCCCTTAACTCTCTCAAAACTAGATATTTTTGGCTTGTTTAGGAAGACAGCTCCTGACTTACCACCCTGTAGCAGTTTGCACTTATTGTTCCCATGACCAAAAAAATGACTGCAGTGTCTCCTTTAGCAAGATATTTAAAATTACTATTTTACCAGTTAAATAAAAAGATGAATAAATTATAATGCTTAGACAGGAGATAAAAATTAATACTTCAACCACATTGGCCTTAGTTTTGAATATAATAAATACAATCTAAAAATAGAGAGAGAGGTGAATACTAAGATTTTTGGCTCTTAATGCTTAGAAACAAATTCAGGCATATTACAATATGATAATCAGTATTTTAAAATTATTTTTATCAAGGTAACCATGGTTTACAGCATTGTATCAACATATAAGTTGGGAGTATAGAATCATACCTTTCAGACGAATGTTACCATACTGCACCACTGCCTGGGCACCTGTAATCCTCTACCATCATTCAGGGGGTCACCTCCCTCCACCTGTCCTCTCTGGTAAATTCAGTTCTACAGTCATATCTCTTGGGTTTATTTTGGTTTATTTTTTCTCTTCCTTTGTTTTCTTGAGAGAACCAGAATTTGCCCAAAGCAGTGGGGGTAAAAATTATTAAGTTTATCCTTGTTGGTGTGTACCACCTTAATATATGTATAGCTATGAACAAGATTTTCTACTAATAGTTTCTAGTTTGAAATTGAAATAAATTGTGTCTATGGAGGAAATAAACTGCAAGAAACTTTTATTCCAGCCTGTGTCCCTATGGCGTTGGGTGCCATTTTCTCTTCTGCTGTGGTAATGCTTCTCCTCCCTGTCTGGTGACACATCCTGTAACATTTCACAGTGCTTGCAATGTTGAGACCTGTTATTGGTGATTTAAAAATAGCTGTACAAGCTGGGTGCATCGACACTGATGTCAGTTGTGGGAGATCCACATCGTGGCTGTGTATGGACAAGGATGAGAATGAATGCTATATTCTAAATACCTGATGACATGTAAAAATCTGGAAGGGCTGCCTTCAGGATTCCTAACTGGGAGACTCTATTAAACCCTCCAAGTAAAGTTGTTTCCACGGAGACCCAATGGCTCAAGGAGAAAGTATCCCTGTTTTGGAAAATAAACTCAGATTTTCCCCACTGTATAGCAGAAACTTATCATAACGTTCAAATCTCAGTTGATAAGAGGAAATTAAATACTCCAACCAGTAAGGATGTAAAAATATGATAAGCTAGATTTCTTTGGTTGGATTGGTTATATCTTTAATTCTCTATTTTCCTGTCCTACTAGAAAAGGTAATTATTACATTTATTATTATTGTGTTGTTATTGTTATTTCCTCATTTACAAATGTTATAAGCAATGTCAGCATTAACATAATAACTGGTCATATACATGGTTTATAATAGCTCAGTCTGGGGAATTAATATAACACAATGCCAGACCAAAAAAAAGTAAATTTAATTTTGGTTTCCAGATGCTGTACTGGGCACCAAGGAGGGCAATAAGAGTTAACGGTTTGGATCTTAAAGTGACATGGCACACCTTTTTAAGTGAATTATAAGTAAAGATACAAAGATGCCTGGACATTGACCAGAATCACAATGCAATGAAAAGAAGGATGATTATCTGACCAAAAGGGATGAAGCTATCAACATACTATAAAATGTTCTGGGACAGTCCCAAGGTCTGGCAGACAGGAGAGCAAAGCCACCTACATAGACTTGAAGTAGGAAAACAGCTTTGCAAAAATCTACTCCCTGCAGTTCAAACTGGCCTTTCAAGCCCCAGGAATGACCATGTGGCCCCATAAGATTTCAACAATAGACACCATCAGCCTTTGCATTTCTACAGTGCATTTCTTCAGGTGTCAGGGAAATAAGTAAATAACAATCAAACAAACCAAAACAACACATTCTTAAATCAAGATAACTTATGGTCAGAAGCTCCTCAATCAGCAATAATTACACATTTAATGTCAATGATTCATTGTTCCCCTTGTCTAAATAAACTCAAACTTGTGATAGTTGGAATAGTTCTCTCAAAGTCTGTTGCATTGTTTCCTTTGTTTGAACACTCACTTTGATTATGTAGTAAGTGCTTTGTCCAGCTATCAAATAACTAGTGTAGAATCTCTTAATTTCTAATTTATAGATTTTTAAAATTAGGTTATTATTTTGAAGGAGATAAGAAAATGGCCTAGGACTCAATGAAGGAAAAGAATAACTAAGTGTTTTAGAAAATAAATCACCACCAACATCTTCCCGTTGCCTTACAAATACTTGGGAAAGAAATACAGAAGAATATCTGCTTGCAAAGATATTTTAGAATAGTCAGTTTGGAAGACCATTTTTCAGAACAAATTTATCTGTACATTTTAGAAGTCTATTTCCTGGAATTTCTCCTATTAATGCTGAAACCCATGTGGTTTATTATGGATATCGAGACATCTGTGCTTTGGGCAAAAATGAAAAAATATATCTACTACAGCCTGATGAGTAAATTCAGCAGCACACAACACATGACGTAATGTAATTGTGTGTGTATATGTGTATGTGAGTATATTCTTGGGGTTTTGCTTAAAAAAAAATTATGCTAGGATGTAAAAAAAACCTTGAAAAATAGAGATAAGAGGTTTCTTCGCTTCCAAAGGCGCATCATGTTTCCACAGTGATGAAACCAGCTATTGATACCCGATTAACCAAGGTGATCCACTGGTTTCCTGCTTCCTCATTCCATGTACCAGGGAGCCGGGCAGAGGAAAGGGGAAACCAATGACGGCCTGCTAAGTTGATAAAAGAAAATGTCAGGAGTCTCGGGTTCTGGTTTCAAGATACCCCAGTGCCATACACTCAGAAAAATGAGATGTTTTCCAGCTTTCACTGTAATCCAAAAGTGGCATTCTGCTTTAAACTGTTTATTTAGAGGAATTTTATAACACATAAATAATAATAAAATTATGAAAGCGCCTTCCTTATACCAGCACGTTTTATTGGCATGCAGATAAACTAAAAGAAGTGAACCCTTCTTTTGCTTCTACTCCCTGTTCAGACAAAGACAGGGACTGTTAACTACAGTGTGAAAACTGCAAGCCTTTATCTTTTCCATTGTAAAAATAAAACTGTACTATCTTCTGACCAGTCAACTTGACTTTACAAAGAAAAAAAAAAAATCCTGCCTTTTTGCTGCAGGCTGAGGCCAAATTAAACTTTCCTCCTTGGCTCACAGTAAAATTTACTTGGAAGAAAAATAATTTACTTAAAATGAAATTCTAGTATTAGAAACAAAATTGGATACTTGCATGAAGTTCAGAATAATGGCAACCAGCCTTGAAAAAATATATAGAGCTTTAACAATAAATCTGGTAGCCTCCCAGACCTCAATGTTGAAGAGAAAGTGGTAACTGAGAATAGCAAACTGACAGGATGCAAGGGCTGCCCCTCTAATTACTCTGTTGAACTCCTAGCCACTGCCTCTCTCATGGCCCACCTGGAGATCTAGGGAAACCTGGTGCACAACAAAAGTCCAAGCAGCAATTAAGACTAGTTGTGAATCTCAGACTATGTATTAGTGTCCAATATACCCAAACATATCTCCTAACAGAGCCAAAGCAAATCCTTTTGAAGGCACGAGTATGAGGAATGAAACAAAACACTTTTAAAATAATAAACATAGGGGCCCTCCCTGGTGGTGCAACAGGTTAGGATGCAGCACTGCAAACTGGCCACAGCCTCTTCAGTGCAAGTTTGATCCCTGCATCCAGAGGTGACCCACATGGTGCAGCTGACCTCTCCTGACCCTCCTGCTGCTCCTCTCAGCAGAGTACTTCATTGATCTGCTTGTTCTGCTCCCCACTGTCTCTGGTGAAGCCTCTCACCACCCCTGCATCTCTGGCTTGTACCCCAGTTCTATATGCATAAATAATAAATAAATCTAAAAAATAAATAAAATAATAAGCATAGAACCTCAGTTGGAAACTTCTAGTTCTTTTATATTATTTGTCAAACAACTACAGATTTCACCATCACAGCATCTTTGAAGAAAACTTATACAATTTAACATAAAAATTAGGCTATGCCTAAAGTAGTTTTAAGTTTCTCAAAATCTATTAAGTTCCTTACATAGTTTTACTGTAATAGGGAACACATATTTATTAGACAAAACAAAAATGGGTTACCATTTTCAGGGTCAAAACAATTTTTCTTTAACAATAAAACATATTATGCATAAGAACATTTCAATGAAATATAAAATAAATATTTTTCTCCTCTTATTTTCAAATCTTTTCTAATATTCATGGGGAGGAGGAGATGAAAAAAATTAAAGAGGTGCTACTCTGTAATTAAAGATCTAGACACAAACATTTACCTATTAGCTATCACATCACTCACCAGATTATAAGATGCAAAGACAAATGTCAATTTATTCATTAGTAATCAGGTGAAGAAGTAAAACCTCTGAAACTAAAATAGTTTGGATGGTGAATAACAAAGGAAAAACTCTTAAGATTTAGTCAAACTAGAAAAGAACCTACCTAGAAATAAGTGACAGGACTTGGCAGTGTTAGTAAAAATTAGAATCAAGTTGCAATGTCTGTGTTCATCGACCTCAGAGTACGAAGGCACCACCCAGCCATCACTTTATAAAATCTATGTGGACTTTTTTAATAGAACACTTTTTTTTTCATAAATTGTAGCATGCTTTCCAAGAAAATGTAGGTCACTTGGGTCATTTATTCTTGTAGCTCTCTGGTTGAAGGAGACCCAGTTGTGTAAGAAGGTAGGTGAAGGGTGGGGCTGGCACTCTGCTGTTTGTCTTTTTATCTGCAGATGCTTTTAGCACCATTATCAGAAGCCATACATTGCGAATTCTTTCTCTGGGTGTAGCTTTCAAAATCATTCTCTATTCCATTCTTCCTGCATTGTCAAATTGCACCAATAGGTGATCTAGAGTGTGAATTTCAAACACGTGCTGTCAATATGCCCAAAACTGTGGCTGCAAAGAGAAAAACATGAATTAAATCATGGCTTATACTGATTCATATTGTCAGAAATATAAGTTAAAGTCTCAAAGTAAGATGACATGAGTTCTAAACAATTTAAAGTCCTCAGGTGAATACACCCACAGCTTTAAAGCATGCATTGCTTATTGTGGGTAAAAGTATTATTTTCTTGCTACAATTCTCTGACAAAAGCTACATAAAATAAATGTATATTGATCAACAAAGTCACAATGGTTTTCTCACTTATCCTGGTATTCCTGTTGGAATAGTGAGGATCATTAGCAATAGTATTGTATATGTAGATATTTCATATTTTAAAGTGTCTTTGTGATTCTCTTTCAAATACTCTTCTCATAAACTTTCTTTTGGAAGGACATGATATTCCTACTTTTGAGATATCATATAGAGATAATAGTATCTACCTGAAAGAATAATTTCAGATTCATTAGATTGCCCATATTAAGTACATAGAGTATTTGACATATTATCTGTTGAGTACTCAAAAGATATTAGTTATAACTAATATGTGAAAGTATTAGTAACTATGTTAAAGTTATCAGAAATCTTCTTTAAGCAGGCCAGTCTATTTTGGGTCTTACTCTAGAATTGGACATGAAAGGACAGATTTTCCACAAAAAGAACAATTCTGGCACTATTTAGAGATGTTGATTCATCTGCCTGGAACGCTTCTCTTCCTTACTTTTTTTTTTAAATTTTTTATTTGTACATACAGAACTGGGGTACAGGCCAGAGGCTCAGGGGCGGTGAGAGGCTTCACCAGAGACAGAGTGGGGAGCAGAACAGGCAGATCTACGAAGTACACTGCTGAGGGGAGCAGTGGGCGGGTCAGGAGAGGTCTGCTGCGCCATGTCACCTCCGGGGCAGGCGGGGATCGAACTCATGCGGAAGTGGCTTTAGCTTCTCAGTGCAGTGCTTTAACCTGTGCCACCAGGGAGGGCCTCTCTTCCTTACTTTTAACTCCTAATGGTTTTTGCTGAAGTAATTCTTATTCTTCAGACTTCAGCTCAGAGAGTACTTCCTCCAGAGATGAGTAGTCCCTAAATCATAATAGATACATACTACAGTACTCCTCAGATGTGTTCCAATGCAATTCACAGTTCCCAGATTTTTAAGTCTGTTTCCCTATGTTATTAAATCTTCACGAGGACATTTCTTTGTATACTACATTCTTAGTGGTTAGTATGATGCTAGAACACAGTGGATACACAATAAATAAATGTGATATGAGAATATCTAGCATGTGAAATCAGCCAGGCTGGTGTTATACAGACAGATTTTCTTGTAGTATGAGTGACTTTGTGAGCACAGGAGATATAGCAGCAGCTAGTTATAGAACCAGTTGAGAGTGAGGCTCACGAAAGGTGGTATAGCATCTTATTAGAAGCCGGGGGTATGGGGAAGGGTTCTATAGGTAATCTGGCTACATCTAGTTACTGAAGGTCACCCCAGTAAAGCCACCCCCCAGACTCACTACTCTGGATATCTAGCTGTCTTACAGCCTGGAGAATGAAAGCCTGGGTTAACTGCATCTGATCCCAACTTAAGAGATTTCTGTTGAGAGTAGTAACAACAAAATGCAAGACCCAGAGCCTTGCTGGCTTGTAGGAAAGAATGCAATCTGATCTAAGAGCCCAGACTTACCAGACACTTGGGCTGTGCTGTGCATGTCTGGCCCCAGACAGAAGTACAGTGCTGAGGAAGAAATTTTGAGACTTTGGGCATGGCAGATGGAAAATGAACAGAGATGTTCTGATTTGTTACAGCAGCTGCATCATAGGAAGAGATGACTTTAGAATAGTATCTGACAGTGGGCAAAGAATTGACAGAGAGAGATGTGCTGGAAATTCGAGTTTTATACATATCACCAATAGCACTCTCTGAAGCATAGTTGGACTGACCTTTAATAAAAAAAAAAAAAAAGAAAACAATTGTCAGCATATACAACTGTATATCTCCAAATTGCTAGAAGTATTTAAATAATTTTCCCCCTATTTCATTTCCCAATGTTGCAAATATACTATTGGTGCACTACAGTGCTGATAGAAAAGTAAACCTGTTTGTAGTGACATTTAATGCAATAAACACACTATAAATTACTGTTCAAAAGAACAAGTTTTAAGAGGGTAAGATAGAGATTTGCTCTTTGTAGTGTGTGTGTGTGTGTGTGTCTTTCATCATAACAAAAGCTGTTATCATCATTATGATGTAAGGAAGAATATTAGAAAGAATTCCATTCAATCATAAGTAAAGTTTGGTCAATTATCAGTGAAGTGGCTTATATGTAATAGTAATACATTACCATATTCTGTAAGTAACACTTATATGCTACATAGTAACTAAAAGCAGAAAAAAATTTAAACCTGCATCATGAGTGTTAATAAATCAATCTTAAGCAACACCATGAATACCTATTTCCTTTGGACATTAACAATAAAGTAAGATAATGTAATCTCTATGCCTACTTAAACACAAATATATCTGAAATATTTGTGAAAAATTCTTTCAGCAAATGTCTACAAAGATTTATGGAACGGAGAAGTACAGGCAACCCAATGATGTGTAAACATTGTGTACATGTGCACAGGTCAGACTTAAGCACAGCAACCTGGTGACCTCTGGTGATCGCTGCTCTGGCATTCAATTTACCGATATAGATTATGAAAGTAAATTTAAAAAGCTTAACTGATTTCAACTGTTCCAATCTTCTTTCAAAAACAACTTGGCAACATACTTATATGTGCTCACATTCTCTACCTCATGCATCACATATTTATATGTATACAGGCCAAAGTCCAAAACATTGAAAAATCTATATATTGGAAAATATCTCCTATTTTACATAAAATCTCTATACTCAAAAAACTGGAAACATGAAATATAGTAACCAGAGGATAATGATGAAAATTATTCTCTAACTCATTTGATAAACTGCTAAGAGCACTGAAACAGTGATGAAGACTACATAATAAAAAATTAAAGTATATATGAAACAACGTTAAATAAGAATGCAAGTGGCAAAACTGGGTGTCTGATTACTACTGTAGAAAAATATACATAGGAAAACAAAGGAGATATGTGAAAAATGAACAGTTATTGTCTTAGCTGGGTTAGTAAATGACTAATAATTGCTTTTCAAATGGAACAATATATAAAAATAAAATGAACCTGGGGATTTTGACTCAATGTGCTTTAGTCTCCTCCAGTCTGAACACACCTATGGTGTTAACTCTATAGCCTGGGTGTATTTGTGTTTTCCCAATAATAGTTGCCTTAGGTGATGCAATATTAAGAGCTGATAGGGTACAGAAAGGCCTGAACTCACTATCACAAAAAGAGTGTTTCAGGCTTTCAACAGTATATGAATAGTCATGTGTAGGAGGTAACGAGGCAGGCACATGCCTACAGTCTGATCTCTGAGTTCACCTGGGCTGAGTTACTCATCCCTGTGACATTCAGCCACAGCTACTTTGAGTAGATGAACCACGGCTCATGGCTAATTTTTTTCCTGTTCTCCTCTCCCCATAAGTCCGAGAAAAGTCTAAACTGACTAACTTTTTTGATTATGTGAACAAGGAGGTTTACATTTTAATTTGGCACTTCTCTTTTCACGATAGACACCATACCAACAATTTCTCCTGTTCCTGGGGCATCCACTACTTTCCTGTAAAAGCACAGTACCTTTATTTCAGCACTTAACACATTACAAGAATTATGTTTTGCTTTGTGACTTTCTCTCCTACTAATTTGCCAGCTTTATGAGAGTAAGAATTCCATCTTGTTTGATCTTTTGTCTCATCTTTAGGAAAAGATTATTGATTTTTAGTAAACACCTAAGTTTTTATTATGGGTGGGTCCAGAGCCTCTTTTACACTTCTAGCATTAGTATTGGAGACAATGAACAAGTTGACTTAAGTTTCATACCTCTGTGCCATGATTGTGCTGGGTCAGACAGCTGGATGGGTATTTGCTGTTTCTTACAAAACCTCCTATTACTCTGAAGTGCTTCTGTAATCTAAGAAATAGATAAGTCTATTTAGATGTCAATTTTTACAATATATATACACATATACCTTTCCTTATTAAAAAATATAAAAAGAGGGCCCTCCTTGGTGGTGCAATGGGTTAAAGTGCAGCACTGCAAGCTAGCCACAGATGCTTCAGTGCAAGTTCCATCCCTGGCCCCAGAGGTGACTCACAGGGTGCGGCAGACATCCGACCCACCCACTGCTCCCCTCCGCTGTGTATTTCATCGGTCGGCCTGTTCTGCTCCTGACTCTGTCTCTAGTGAAGCCTCTCACTGCCCCTGCACCTCTGACTTGTATCCCAGTTCTGTATAAATAAAGTAAATCTTTATATATATGTATATAAAGAAGTATATTTGTGGAATTAAGACATTGTCTATGGGGACAAAATTCAAGGGCTTGGGAGTCGAATACCTGGCTCATAATGGTTGGAGGGATTTTCGCTCTAACATACTTCACATAATCCACTGTTGCCTCAAGAATCGAAGCCACATCATTCTTTCTCCCTTTTACATATGGCAATAGAATACGCAGCTGCTCACAGCAGTATTTGATTCGTTCTCTAAGCAGAGAATTATAATAAAGAATAATTAGTTTTATTTTCTTCTTTCCACACAAGGATAAACATCCTTCCTCTTGTGTGTGTGTGTGTGTGTGTGTGAGTGTGTTTTATAAAGGAACAGTTCCCCTCCCATCTAGTCTTCATTTTGGAGCAAGGTAGTGTCCCCACAAGTCAGCAGCCTCCACAGTTCCTAGGATCAAATTGCTGGGGCACCCACTTATACTGCACCCACAAACAATGCTTGTAGAGATGGCAGTCCTAGCTCACATACCCCATGCCTACTGCAGTGAGCAGTCTACCAGACACTGGGGAGTCCACACACCCCGCTGCCTACAGAAACATAAAGATGGAAACATACAGATGGTGATCACACACTAGACACATAATTCCTTTTGTGATTCACACTAGAAGCCTAAGAAGGTAAAGAACAATCAAGATACTCAAATCACTGTGACCTGAGTCACATCTCCAGCAATAACTCAATTAGCATCTTTCAATACATGGGCTTTACTAGATATAACTCTGTGTTCTGTGCCAAAGGAAAATCGTTAAGTTGCTTTACAAGGAGGTAATTCTAGACAGAACAAATAAACTAAGCATACAAAGAGAATAACTTCCAAGCTACCTTCAAAAAGAAACAAACATAATTTTTTATAGTACTAAAGAGAAATACATAGACTATGTAAATCTAAAATGATTGAAGCCTTTATTACCTTTACATTATTCACATATTCATTTAACAAACATTATTGCACACTTGTCATGCTTAATACTGACTTAACATCAACAGGGTTAGATGGAAGCTCTGCCAATTACTAGCTGGGATTGTTGTTGGTAACTTATTAAATCTCTCTGCCTCTCAGAAAGGTCCCCATTTTTTTTTTAATAAAAAAAATATAACATAGCCAGTGAACAACTTAAATATTCAAGATCATTGGTGTTTTACTTTGGCTTTGAGGAGCTGTGGGGTTCTGTGGGTCTGTCTTTCTGGAGAGAAAGGGGTGGAAAAGTCAACATTAAAAATGAAGGGCTTTCGGCCCTCCCTGGTGGCGCAGCGGGTTAAAGCACAGCACTGAGAATCTAAAGCCGCTTCCGCATGAGTTCGATTCCCGCCTGCCTCGGAGGTGACCACATGGCGCTGCAGACCTCTCCTGACCCGCCCGCTGCTCCCCTCAGCAGTGTACTTCGTCGATCTGCCTGTTCTGCTCCTCACTCTGTCTCTGGTGAAGCCTCTCGCCGCCCCTGAGCCTCTGGCCTATACCCCAGTTTTGTATGCAAAAATAAATAAATCTTTAAAAAAAAAAAAAATGAAGGGCTTTCAAAGTTTTCACACTTTGGCATGTTTCCTATGGGGATCTAAAAAAAAGAACAAACTTTTTGTAAAAATGTTTTCAGGTATCAGTGAGATATGAAAAACAATCTAAGCATAGAAAATAAGTAGATACTTAAAGAAGCATAGTTTTATTAGCTCAGAGTATTGTCTGGCAGCAGAAATGATATGATATAAACTTTAGGTATAGATATAAGATAGTACATACAGATGGCAAAATATGATCAGTCACTAAACAAACCATAGAAAGAAAATAGAAAGCAAAATATCAAGTAATCATTATTTCTGGACAGTTGAGGCTATGGATAATAATATATTTTCCTTTTGCTTTCTATATTTTCCAAATATTATTGTCAGGAACTTGTCGCTTTTCTAGTGAAAAGTCACATTAAAGTTTTCTTCCACCACCTATTAGGAAAATGTTCAAGCATGCATAAAGATTGAATAAATGAAAAATTCTCAATACTGAAAAACTGAAAGAATTATGAATTTATGTAGGAGACATTCACATACTCACTACCTAAAGTCTACAATAAACATTTGCTAATTTGCTTTATCATGTATGAATCTTCCCACTGGCTACACACTGATCCATTTTATATTTAAACATTTCAAAATAAGTTGCAGATTTTAGTTCATTAACCTGCCTAACCATGTCATAAGTGAGGGTTCAGACTATTTCATTGTAAGGTAAAAGTTACATAAAATATACCAATCTTAAGGGAGCCAATCTGCTTAGAAACAGAACAAACACAAAACTGTATAATACAAACCCTCATCAACTTCATGACCACACCAAGTTCTCTGTGTGCCTGGCCAGTTGATCTCATCCCCTATATGAGGCAACCCCCTTAAGAGCCAAGAACATTTCTGCTATTTTCTATTCTACCTGAGTTTTACCTGTTGAACTTCATAGAAATCAAATCTTACAGCAGACACTGTTCAATGTTTTTTCACTCAGCATAATGTTTTTGAGCTTTTGAGAGTTACCATATGGTTGCCTATATTAGTAGTTTGCTCCTTTTTATTAAGTACCAGTAGTCCATAGTACTGAATAAACAGACACAGCTTATTTATCCATGTTCTTATTAGTGAACACTTATTAGATCATTCTGCATATCATTCTGTGAATGCATGTTTTCATTTTTCTTGAGTAAATATCTAGGAACTGAATTGGGTTATATTATACATATGTAAGAAAATGGCAGCATTCCCCCCCCCCACAAAAGTACCATTTTCTAACTCTACCATTAATGTATGAAAATCCTTTTTCTATTATTGAGGTAGTATTGATTTATATCACTATGCTTTAGAAGTAGAGAATATCCCCCTTCCATGTTTTTACTATAGCAGATTCACCACCAAAGCACTCTGTATGAGAGTTCTTCTTCCAAATTTTTGATAATATATAATACTCTCTGCCATTTTCACCTTAGTATTTGGCCCCTCTGAGATATTACATGCTTTAATTCCTTATGCTTTTATTTGCATTTCTATGGCAACTCATTATATTGAGCACTTCACTGGGCATTTGCATATCTTCCTTTGTGAAATGTCTATTCAAATATTTTACCTACTTTATAAAGTAGAGTGCAAGTCTTTTACTATTGAATATTATGAGCTTTTAAAATATATTCCAAATACTGTGTTACCAAAACCTTGTTTTGAAAATACTTTCTGCCTATCTGTGCCTTGTCTACTTACTTCCTTAGTGATGTATTTTGACAGCAAAATTTAAAATTTTGACAAGTCTAATCCACCAACTCTTTATTGAGATTTTTGCTTTCTGTGTTCTAAGGAACCTCAGCTTGTTAAGATATCTCCTATGCTCTCTTCTAGAATTGTAGTCCTCAGTGTAATAGTCATTAGCCACATGAATCTATTGAAAAATAAGTTAATTAAAATGAGGTAAAATTTAAAACTCATTCCCAAAGTCACAATAGCCAAATTTCTATGACTCAATAACTACCTGTGGCTAGTAGCTACTGTACTGAACACACAGACACAGGTCATTTCTATCATTGCAGAAAATTCTATTGAACAATGTTATTTTAAAAAATTAGTAGTATGGTATAACTTTGTTTATGCTCTATCCTGATTTAACAGTTTATATGTTATCAGATAGGGTGTCAAAGTTCATTGTTTTTCCATATGGCTAACCTGTTGTTTCAACATCATTTATATAAAAGACTTTTGCTTCCCAGTATTTTTGCAGTGAAAATGAAACAATCACAAGTTCATGAGTCTAGTACTGGGCTAAAAAAATGTGTCCCACTGATACATTTCTCATCTTTTAGGATAGTAACATTGGTAATCATAGTTGTATACTAATTCTTGAAGTCCGATAGTTTAAGTTCTCTATTACACTTTTTCAAGATTGTTTTATGTCCTTTATTGTTCTAAATCCTTTTCATACATCTTATAATCAGACTGTTAATTTTTACCAAAAGAAAATCCCACAGGGATTTAAATGTAGATTAAAATAAAGTGATATTTTAATTTTGTAAGAAATGACAGCTAACAACAGTGGGTCTTTCAATTCATAAATATGATTATAATGCATGACTTTGGTGTTCTTTAATTTTTCACTAATATTTGGAGTGATCAATATATATTTATTCCTAAGTATTCCAAAACATTATCACTCTATTATAAATGGAATTATTTTTAGCTTTAATTTTCTAAATTTTGTTACTCAGTATAAAAAAGTACAATCATCTTTATAGTCTATAATCTTTCTATATTTATCTTTTTAGTTCCAGTAACTGATTTTTATTAAAGCACAAAAACAATTAACTGGAGGTTGTGTCTTTTTAACAAAATCTTGAAAATACCCATGAAGGGAGAAAAAAAAAATCAACACTTATCTCATGTTATATATTAAAAAATAATTTAAGTTGAATAAAATAATCATAATGGTTAAAACTATAAAAATTCTTATAGGCAATATAAGGACATATTGCAATTTGGTGGTAGGCAATGATTTTTAATGCAGAGAAAGCATGACAAATTAATAAACTTGACTTCATAAAACATCTCTTAAAGCTTATCAGAAGACATTGTCATAAAAGTAAATAGTAAGTCAGAGGCTGGAAGAAAATATCTCAAGACATAAAACATAAATTTAGAGTATCAAAGAGTTCTTAGGTCTCAATATAAAAGCGCATTACCCTATTTTTGTTTAATGAAAATTTAAAGTCAAACCTAAAGTATATTCCACAACCACTAAAATAGTTTAAATGAAAAGAACTAACAGAAACAATTGTTGAGAAGATATGGGGTAATTAGTACTCTCATATATGCTGGTAGGAGTATAAAAAGATGCACTTATGTTTTGTAAGTCTGCTTGGACACTTCTAAAAAGAGAAATATAGATCTCTTCATCTATCCATACACATTCTATTTCCAGGTACATAGTCAAGCACATGGAAATACAGGTTCACAAAAAAGTGAATGTTCATAGCAGATTTGCTCTTGAAAGACAAAGCCCAGGAAATAACCAAAATATGATATTGTTTATAAAATGGAATATTCCTCAACAATAAAAAGGAACAAGCTGCTGATAGAACAGCATTAATGAATCTCAAAACATTAATTGGGTAAAGAAGCCAGAGGAAATTCTATAACAAAGAAAGTAAATCTAAACTGATAAAAATCAGAAGAGCAGTTG